TTATAAAGGTGTACTTATTTATAGCACACCTTTAAAATCTTTGTTAATTTTTTAAAATAAACTCAGCAAAGTTAGCAGGAGTTTAGTGCATTCTAATTCTAATTGGATCAGTTTGAACAAATATAATTATTTAACACACATTAATAGTTCGGCTAAACATAGCAATAGCAATAGCACTATACCGCTTCATAGTGCTTTACAGCCCTCTCTAAGTGGTTTAAAGAGAGCATATTGTTTCCAATAATCTGAGTCCTCATTTTACCAACTTCAGAAAGATGGAAGGCTCAAAATCAAACTCCTGGAATGAGCAATGAGTTAGCCTGCAGTACTGCATTCTAACCACTGCATCACCACAGCTCTACATAAAGTAAATATGTTTGGTATTGAATTAACAATACATCAATCAATGATGACTTTTGTTCAGAGTTATTATTTGGGTTAGAAAGATTTATTTTCAGGAATTTCAGCTGCTATGAATAAACAGTATAATTAGATACAGGATGTCCTCAACTAATAACTACAATTGAGTCCAAAATTGCTATTGATAAGCAAGACAATTGTTAAGTCAGTTTTGACCCATTTGACCTTTTAACATTTATTGTTACAGAATCAATCAGCAATGTTAATGTAAAGCACAGATAAAGAGGATTCTTAACCTGATGTTGTACTGAACCTTTCAATTCTTTAAACCAGCCCTGCCTTTATATTCCTTAATATTGCAAGTTTACATTTTACTATTTAGTAAAATGTTATATATACAAATGGAATATTCTATGAATGCATTTTTATATATTTTTGTATGTATTTTTGCTTGGTCAGAAAGACTCAAAGATTGATCAATTATATTAGTAATATGATTTTTCCTCTCTTGACAGAGGAAGACAACCAAATTCAGAATATTCACATTCTAATTATCAATTGCTAAAAAGTTTAAAAACTGTCAGATTTTAATGTATCTTTCATATTTAGAGACTACCCATCTCACACAGAGATCAATATTAAAAGATATAAAACCCACAGGCCTCACCACTATGTTTAAGGAAAGGGACCAAATCTGACAATCGCCCTGTTGTTCTCCAGAATCTTAGGATTGTGGCAAATGACAATCTTGTTACCAGGGACATAGCTGGGAAAATAGTAATAGACAATCTCTAGAAATGTAGCTATGTTAACCACATAACTAACATTTTGTTATGAAGCAAATTATAATTAAATACTAGTTTTCATACGCAAACAAGGTAACTTCTAAGAATAAGATACCTTATATAAATTTAGAAATATTCTGCCATTAATGGCACACAAGTAACTTTGAGTTTTAAAAGGAAGGCTATGCTAATAGCAAGAGTGGAGTCAGGATTTTTCTCAGAAAAATTAAGATACTAGTTAGGTATGTTTCAGTTGGACTCTTCAAATATTAATCAGTAACTGTTAAACTAAAAGAATGAAAGCTTTGCTCAGACTAGTTTATCTTTATTCAGATCCCTCCACAAGCATAAATCAAACAAGAAGAATTTCAAAATAATTGGTGCAAGAGATCTGCATACTATTCCGCTGAATCCAGAATAAATCTGGAAACAAATGCATATCCAGACAAAGCTTAATATTAATTCCTTCGTTCTATGAGGCAGCACAAATTTGCTTAGCGTCCGATCACTACTCTGTTAAGCTAGTTAAGCTAGTCAGTCTAGCTATTCTAACAATTTGCAAGTACAAACTAAGATTCAGTGGTTAGTTGATTTGCTCTAATGAGTAAAACATCCATAAGCATTGTCCCTAATACTTGTATGGAGTAAATCCAGGGCTAGTGAGGAAGACAACGAGGCAAACCTGTTGGATTTAGCCTTCTAATTGAGCCTGATCTGAGGAAGTACTGCATGGCAATGGAGAATGTCCAGAAAAGTTTTACTTGCAAGGAACATTGCTAATAATACAATTGATATGTGAATAATTAATTAGTGAAGATAACAAATTGCATCATTGAATTTCTACTGCAAATCTTTCTTGTCAGTGAAGTAAGTCATTCTGCAACAATACTATGACAGAGAGATGACAAAGTACTTACTTGAATTGAAAGAATGACACCTATTTAATGTTCTAAAAATGGTATTTTGCAATCCACACACAAAAAGTTCATTAAGAACAACCCATCTGAGTTGTTCTTTAACCAAGCATACTTTAACCAAGCACAATAGCCAACTCAATGTCTCTGAAGTGCTAACAAGATAGAGAAATACCCCTTGCTATCAACATTTCTCTTCAGCTGGTATTTAAGGCAGGCAGTTCTAAACCCTAAGTATTAAAAAGGAACAGCTTCGATATATTTAATCTCCATGAAGTGATTATAATTTTGTAGTAATGAATTCTACAGTTATATATCACAAGAAGTATTTTCTTTCATATATCTTTCTTCATTGTTGTCACTAGATGATCTGGTGACGAGAATTCTGAGAGAACTTCTCCCTGTCCACTTTCTCCATACCAAGTGTGACTTTATTCACCTCAGTCGTGTTCCGTCTTAGTTGTCTTTTCCCTATTTCAGCCCACAATAGTCCTTTCGGTATAAAGAGTTTAAGTGCACTTGACCTCATTTACACTTTTTCTAGTTCTGTTGTATTATACGCCTTTTCATACCCAATATGGCAAGCATAACTGTACAGGAATTTCAGATGCCAACATCCTTACATTTGTAAAAGGACATTTTTCAATCTTTGCAGTTTTATTTTTTAATCTCTTAATTATCTCTAACGTGAGATTTGCCTTGGTGCATACTGTGTTAACATCTTCACTATGCTCTCCACTATGATCCCAATATCTTTTTCTCCATTATATATAAGAAGTTAGGCAGGGAATGTTCTAAATCTTAAATGTAGATTATATGTAATCAATATTTGCCATTTGTTTGACTATTGACTCAATTGAAAGAAATCTCTCATTTTTTTACTACCTTGTAAAATACTTATCTGCTTATTTGGTCAGCTCACTGCATTTCCCTAAACCAAGATCATTTATGAACAAGTAAAGGTATTGGTTCAAAGGCACTTTTTTGGTTGCAAAAAATGTCTATTACTAACATTTCCAACATTACTAACACAAAGTACAGAATTAGATACAAATGGGAATGGCATAATGCAAGCTTAATAATTTTATTATATGTTAACATTAACAAGATTTTTGATGCTTATCCAATATCCAATATTTATTCTATTGGTATATTGTTTAATAAGAGATGGTGGGGATCAGTAAGTACCCTAAAACAATGTTTCTTTCTTAAATTTTCTTATATTATTATAAAACAGAAGTAATATTTTATATTATTTAGGTACAGTGGTGTTTATACCATATTGACTAGAGATTATTAACTCTTATGTTAAACTTAAACTTTGAAAGATAAAAAGAAGTTTGTATATTAGCCATCTTTTCTAAAATTCAATGTTAAAGAAAATTTTAGTTCAAAGCTAATGTAGCATTAATAAACAGCTGCAAAATATTTCAAACTGAATAGAACAGAACAGAACAGAATAGAATAGAGCTGGAAGGGACCTTGGAGGTCTTCTAGTCCAGCCCCCTGGTCAAGCAGGAGAATCTATACCATCTCAGACAAGTGATTGTCTAGCTCTTGTGTTATACAATAAAGGTTTTCTGTCTTAAGCTTAATGCTGTATGTTACTTATTATTTATAACAATGACGTTTTTTCATCTAAATGTGACTTAACCATATAAGGCTTTTGGAGACGTGAAATACTCTGGATATTTCTAACTTAATTTAATTTGTTTAGATCCAGACCATATCCATGAAAGCCTGTATGATAACAAATGTATTAGGTTTGATGATGAAGAGAATATCATATGTATCCTAAGGGTCAAAGTCAAGACAGGTGATTATTCCTGCCTTTTGCTGTGGGTGAAAACTTTATGAGAAACGTAAGTGTGGCCCGTTAAGTAACAACTACTTTAGAATAGAAAGCTCTGTCCGAAACCAAGTGATAATTACCATAAGGCTAGTCCCAAAGGTGCTTTTCCAAAAGGCAACTGGGCTTCCTTGGTTTTTTCCCCCCTGAAAACGTTTCGCTTTTCAGCCAAGAAGCTTCTTCAGTTTTGAAGAACAGAACTGAAGCTTCTTGAATGAGAAGCGAAACCTTTTCAAGGAAAACCCCTCAAGTAAGTGCAGTTGTCTTTTAGAAAAGCACCTTTGGGACAACCACGACCTGGATGACTGAGAATCTCCATAGATGTTTACCATAATGCTACAGTACAGTTACTCAAGAAGCTGAAAGCATTTCCTTTCTGACCCAGGGAAGAAGTCCAAAATTCAAGGAAATGTCTAAGTCAGCCATCTTCCGGCTCCGCGCGGTTGGAAGAGGGACAGAAACCCGCAAGCCTGCTTCTCTGTTCTTTTGGTGTAGCTCAAGACCCACAGATCCGCCTCACCACGCGGAGTTACACGTGAGAACGGCTTGTTCTTTCTAACGTCCCCTCCCTTCGGCCTCCCGAGAAAAAAAGGAACTGTGTCACTAGGTGAAAGACGCCCAAGCGGCAACGCAGAGGGAATGAGGCGCAGGTAGGGAAAGGAAAGGAAGGGTGGCAGCGCAGAAGCACGTGGGTCAGAGCCGGACTCCCGTTGACTCTTCTTGCTTTGTCAGGGGGAGGAGGAAACAGCCGCAGCAGCCCTGACAGGGAGCCAACTCAGCAAGAAACTTCCTCAGGAAGGCTCGGCGGCGGCTTCTGCGGCCGCTCTTTCGTCTCCTCCCGCCTAATAACGCACGAGGCAGCTCCACGCACAGGGCAGGCGGGTGCGCCTCCCATGAGCACAGCTGCCGCAGTGGTTCATTCTGCATCCGCACGCAGGTGGAAGGCTCAGAAAAGCGACCCAGAAAGAGGCGCTCTCCCCCCCCCCTGCACCGCGTGCCCGGCAGCTCTGTCACCAGAGACGCACCGGGGTGGGCTTAAGTCGGCGGCTCAGGAGGCTTTCTCAAGGGCCAGCCGCAATCCGTCCCCTTCCTTCTCCTTTGAAAAAAATCCCGGCCCTCGGCAGCAGGTTCTTGGAAGAGAGGAAAGGCAGGCATGGAGCTGAGTATCGGTAAGTAGATTCTTTATTGGGACGAAAGTCCGCAACCGTAAGTGCCCCGAAAGTGGGGTGGGGGCATGGGGTTTGCCTAAGGGAATAATTAGAGGAAGAGAGTTTGGGTAGATGGAGTTTTGTACTTTAAGCAACTGCTTTTACTAAGGATGGTCGTTCGGCCAGTGTCTTGATCCTAAATGATTCGAAGGTCGCTTTATTAGTTTATTCTCGTGTTTCTGTTCCAAAAGCAAAGAAACACAGAGTAAGACCTGTAGCTTCTACACCTCTGGAGTGGGGCTGGCTGAAGCGGCTGATGAGGTTTGTGCTGACTGAAAGGGAAGACCTTGGCTTAGAAATGAGAGGTTACAAACTAGTGGGGTCGGGAGAAAAGGGGTGGGAGAAGAAACGACTATCAGTCCATTCAGGGGGGAAATGGAGGGTTGGCAAAAAAACTCCTTTCTTGGAGCTTGATCCGAATCCAACTTTTTCCTTGGGATAGCAAGGCTACGATACTTTACAGAGAGATCTATCTGGGCATTTGGCCTTACGGACAGGTTTGTGCTTGCCGCCGCTCCCTCTTCCCCATAGTTGCTACCCCTGTTTCTACCGGTTGTTTTCTTTCCATGGCCTCACATGGACTGGCCGGCTGAGCCATGTGCGCCCTTTTGTTTACGTTCAGTGCCAGGCGCGCCCTCATTGGCTCTGGCTTGCTCAGATGCCCAGATTGCATAATTGCGCTGGGCGGTCTTGCTGGGGAACCGTGTGGACTGACACGTGTAAGCAGCTGGAGGCCGTTGTTTTGGTGACCTATATCCAGGCGCAGCGGGCAAGGGACACGTGGGGGCGGAGGCAGTGGAGACGATTCATTCAGCCACGCCCGTCGTCTCTTCTCACTCCACCACAAAGTGGTGATTTGTACTTGGTGAATAGAAGTTCCTCTGCAGACAAAGGATCCGAAGGCGGCCGTTTCCGCTTGGAATTGGGAGGGATTGTGCCTGGAACCGCGGAATGCTTGACCGTTGACCGGACGTCCTCAATTGCTGGGCAGAATTTGGTCACTTTTGGTCTCGAAGTGATGGGAGGACTAGGTAGCTTTAGTTTGGTTAACTGCACATTCCCTAAATAGATTTCATCAGGAGCTTGATTAATTGAATTTAGAAAACCAGGGCTAGGATCAGAGATAAATATAAGTTCAGCCCTGATGTTACCTAGAGTGGTAATGAAATGTCTGCAAGCAAATAACCAAGCTCAGGGAGCACCAAGGACTCCACAATAAAGATACTGCTCAGTGGTGTATTTTGGCAGTGGTGTACTTCTCTGTTTTCTTTCTTCTGAGTGAACCTGTGTTATCCTATATACTTGCTTATATGTAGAATATATTGTGGCCATATTGGTCTACAATTCCTGTAATTTGTAGACAACAGTGAAGGAAGTTTAAATCAAGAGGGTTAAATGGTGCCTGATTCTGTAACTTCTTGATTGTATATAGAATTGCTACAACTTTATATACAGTGATAGATAAAGTTGTAGCAATTCTATATACAATCAAAAAGTTACAGAATAACAGAATTGGAAGGGACCTTGGAAGTCTCCTAGTCCAGGGCTTTTCAACCTTTTCACCCATTGTACCACTTTTAGGATATGGCAACATCTGAGTACCATCAGTCACCTAGCAAGGTGTCAAAAACCAAAAGATGACCCCCCCAAAAAAAGGAAAAAAACAATAAAGTACAGGTAGTCCTCGACCTACAACAGTTCGCTTAGTGACTGTTCGAAGTTACAATGGCACTGAAAAAAGTGCCCCCCAAGCCACAGCCAAGCAACATATCTGCCTGCCCGCCCGGCGGTGCTCTTCCTCCTGTCCGAGGTTTTCATTGTTGTGAGCATTTCTGTTGAGGATTGGCAGCGGGGGTGGAGTGGGGGGTGTTTGGTTTTTATTCCTCCCGTCTGCTGGGTGGTTGCAGCAGGTTTTGGTCACTTCACATGACCCTGGGACACTGTGACCGTCATAAATATGAATCAGTCCCCAAGCATCTGAATGTAAATCACAAAACCCTGGAGTTGCTGCAACATTCCAGCTGATTGGTGCTTCTTCTGGGTTCAGCAGAAGCAGCAGGATCAGCGCCGAGCTCCAGCTGGAGCCTGGCACTGATCTTGCCGCTTCCACTGAGCCCTGATAGCCCCAAAGAAGCGCCGATCAGCTGGAAAGTGGCACTGATCCTGGCGCTTCCGCTGAGCCCTGACAGCCCTGCAGCTCCAGCCATCTCTCGCTCAGGCTTGTGTGGTGCTGCCACCGATTCAGCTCATTCCCCTCCCCCGCTACCACTTTTCTAGGATGGTCACGTACCACCTGCCAGGTGCCAATGTACCACAGGTGGTACCCGTACCACTGGTTGAAAAGCCCTGTCCTAGTCCAACCCCCTACTTAAGCAGGAGACCATACCATTTCAGACAAATGACTGGCCAGTCTCTTCTTAAAACTTCCAGTGATGGAGCACTCACAACTTTTGGAGGCAGGCTGTTCCATTGATTAATTGTTCTAACTGTCAGGAAATTTCTCCTGATGATTCTAAGTTTTCTCTCTCTTTGTTAATCTTCCATTCCTTGTCTTCTCTTAGGTGCTTTGGAGAATTGGTTGACCCCCTCTTCTCTATGAGCGACCCTCATCTATTAAAAGATAGCTATCACGTTAAGTTCAGTGGGCTGTTTTCAGAGAAAAGTGTAGGTAAATACTGCTAAATGTCTTCCTGGTTCTGAAAAAAAATTGAAGCTCAGAGATACGACGAACTGTTTTTATTTAAAAAACAAGAATTTAAAGGAGAAAGAACATAGGGGAAGCTTGATGATACTGTCACTAATTCTGTGATGTTGCTGCATTTTCCTGAAAAACTAATGCAGTTATTTCCCAACTTGCCTTCATTCATTCATTCACTTGCAGGACTTGTACGGGCCTCCCGTCTCCTAATGACTCTAGAAAGCTCACAACAATCTATTAAAAAAATGGTTAAAAACAAAAGTACCCTTTCGCCAGGTGCTAGACCAAATATCCTCCCAGCTCAACCCCTACCTTAGCCTAATGCTTGAGGAAGAACCAGGTCTGCACAGCCCTTCAGAAGGCCAAAAGGAAGCCCTAAGTCATTGAGTTTACCTATAGATCTATTTGAGCAGACAGGCATAGTTATTTTTTATTGAAGTGTAGTTGATGCAAAGATACTGTCTTGAAACCTACTCAGACTTTGTTCATGGTTTCTACTCACATTTACTTTCATGTAAATGTGTCCACCATTTTTGTGTATTTATAGCCATCCACTCTAGAATTAGACTTACTTGAAAGCATTTTCTGTAGTTTGGGAATATCACACAATTTTGCTTATACCTCCTTCTAGAACAGAAAGCATTTCCGGTTATATGTAGTTTTTCTTATGTGTGTATGCCCATGTGATAGGAATCCAATCATCACTGAGATCTCATTCTCACATGGACTAGGAACTGTGGCATTTATAATGTAACAGGTTGGAGGAAGGCTGCAGAACAATTTTTTCTGATGACTGAGCTTACGCAATAGATGAAGTCAGGTGGTATAACGTGTATAGACTCCAGAGAATTATATAACTGAATTGGGCAGTTTGCCTAAGACTGTGAGAATTGAAATGCTTTTTTTTTTAATTTATGAAAGACTGGATAGCGGAGGGAGTGGTTCTCTTCCTCCCAATTCAGTAACTGTAGAAAGTACAGGTGTGTAGTGGCTGTGTGTAATTGCTCAAAATGACTGGCTCCAAGTGCCTATCACGCAAGTTGACAAAATTGCAAACATAATGGAATTTAACAGAAAAAAATATATATAACAGGATGTACATCTTGGAGAAATAAAGTTGAATTGCAAGGTGATATTTTGATGATTAAAAAAGGTTTTAAAAAAAGATAAGTAGAATGTCAATAAATTGCTTTCTTTGGGGTTTGTTTAATATGTAGTGAAAAACATGTAATAGAAAGGTATGAGAAAAAGAACATAAAAAGGTTGCTGGATCAGATGGAGTCTGTTTTGCTTCTAGTAAGGTAAATTCCTTTTGGCTAGGAAGGGATGTAGTGCTGAGAAGCTCACTCTCATTCTAATAGACTAAAAGCAATTTATAACTGATAGAATAGTCCAGAATATAGCTGCTTTGTTTATTAGTTGGCAAGATTTTTCTTTATGGATTTGACTAATCATCTATCTGTCTATCTATCTATCTATCTATCTATCTATCTATCATCTATCTATTAAGTCTGGGTGGCATTTATAACATGAAACAATTTAGAACACAAAATAATGCAGACTACAGTTAGTGCTCAGCTTGCAACCATAACTAGAACCAGAATTTTTATTGCTAAGCAAAGTAAGTGAGTTGCGCCTGATTTTATTACATTTTATTTGTTATGGTGGTTAAGTAATCACTGCAGTTGATAAATGAATCATGGGTCATTAAGCAAATCCAGCTTCCCCCATAGATTTCGCTTGTCAGAAGCTGGCTGAGAAGAGTTGCAAGTGGCAACCATTCCAATAGATGCTGCCAACAGTTGGTTGCCAGGCGTCCAAAATTAGATCACCTAACTGTGGGTGTGTTTCAAATGGTTACAAATATGACCGATTCTGCCACCTTTTTCAGTGTCATTTTAATTTCAAATGATCATCAAATGAATGATTGTAAGTTGAGGACTATTATTTGGAAAACAAACTCTAGAGGAAAAACACCACCACCAAAACAAATGTCCTAAAAGGAGTCCATTAACTATTTTGCTCAAGATCAGGGGGGGGGGGAAGGCCAGGTTTTAATGGCTGGTTTAAATAATGGCATGGGGGACATACAGGTTTCTGAGATATCATTTGAGCAGCAGGCACTGTGAAAGAGAAGGCATGTTTCTTGGATGGCATCAGATAAAGTTGTCTAATTGATGGGATCCAAAGCATGCTATTTCTGGTTGATCATATAGGATGAGGAAGCTATGGAAGACAGAGAACACCCACAAATAATCAGGCTCTATGTCACAAGGACTATCTAAGCCACTGGCCTTTCTCACACTTTATGGTGAACAAATGTCATTTATACATTGTTTAAAGTACTGTATTTTTTTTAGTTTTTTGGCCTATCTTCCTTTTACTACAATGTATAATCCTGAAGTATGTTCTATGAAAGAGAGAGAGGTAGTTGCTTTTATGTGTTTCCTTGACGTCATTCATAGTTTTAAAACACTTTGTTTGTCTTGCCTTTTTCCTGAATTAATTATATGTTTCTCCTTGTAAGGAAAGGCCATCAATCACTTTAGTTTTCTGAACATCACTGTGATAATAGTTTTATAAGATTTGCACCATATGAAGGGGGCACGATGGCGGTTAAAGACACCGAGCTTGTCAACTGGAAAGCTGACCGACTCAAGACCAGAGTGCTATGTAATGGCATGAGCTCCTGTTATTTGCCCTTCTCCTTCCCACCTAGCAGTTTGAAACCATGTAAATGCAGGTAGATAAATAGGTACCTTTTCGATGGGAAGGTAACAGCTTTCCATGTGCCTCGGTGTATAGTGATGACCATAGAAATGTCTTCGGACAATGCCGGCACCCTCGGTTAAGAAACAGAGGAGCACCTCCCCCTAAAGTAAGATATGACATCTTTACCGTTTACCTTATGGTACCACAAAATATGTATGTGTATTTATTTTTATGTGCCATCCATATAAAATAATACTTTACAATAGAGAAAAATAGCAGAGGTTGGATTATGTAAAATCATTATATTGACCATTTTATTTGTGTTTCTTTTTTCATAATATTTTCTAAAATGAAATTTGTCATGTTGCTACAAATGGAACTATTAAACCATTATCATCAATCTGAAGAATTTGTAAATACAGAAATGAAGTTGGACTTTTTTTCTCCATTGTATTCCATAGATGAATAAGCAAGGTTATTTCTCAGTTGCCAACTTTTCCTCACTAACTTAATTAATTTGATGTCAGCATTATTGTTTATGAGTATCAAATAGCAGTTTTCTCGCTGTTGATGTGCATTTACTGTGAAAATGTTTCCTACTTTTCCTCAATGCTCTTTTTTATTTATTTATTTTTTATGCATAGATTGCTGAGCCTCTTGTGGAGGTTTGAAATTATTTGTATGTTTTAACTCTGGGATTTTGTGAGTATATTACAGAATGCTTTTATATAAAGGGATGGCTTACAACAATCAGGTGCTAAATCATAATAATTATATTCCTCTGTATTCTTATCTTCTAATCCAATTGTTTAAGGGTATTGTGGTACTTACATAAGATTAATTATGGTAAGTGAACGTGGTTTAACTTTTACATGTCCAAAGTTGGCATTCTGTTGAAAATCTGAAATATGATTAGATAAGAATTGTGTGTTAAAAAAAAATCTGGCAGAATTTTTTTTAAAGACTAGAGAATAAATAGAGGCAGTTACATATTAGAATTGAAATGGCAATACACTTCACTCAAAATTTAAAGCCAGCTTTTTCTAAAAAGACATGATACATTTATTTTATTTCTCATTTTATATAATAAACTATGCACATAGATTTGCATGAGCTACATAAGCAGCTAGGTTGTTTGGTAGAAAATTCTGGAAATACATAATGTGCTTGTATGTAGAATATTAAGGAAAAACAGCATAAAATATTAAGTACATCAGTATCAGAATTCTGTTTCAAGTCAAATTAAACAGTTTTTGTAAAGTAGAGTGCACATTTACTATTTGACAGAATATCCTTGATTTTTTTTCTTTTTTTCAATATACTGGAAATAATATTCCACTTTACAAAAATCATATTGTTCAGCACAAAACACTAATGATAGGTGCATCACCAATGTACCATATTATTCCCTGGTTTTGTAATTACATCCTTAAAACCTGTTATTCAGATGTAGTTTTTATTGTAGTCTGATTCTGTTCCATTCACTGCAAATAATAGGGTTAGGTATGAAATCAGCACACATCTGGATGAGCACACAGGTCAAGACTCTGTTCTGCAAATTTAGAAATCATCCTTTGTTTCTCATACTATAGTTCTTATTAATGTTATTATTTGAAATGATTCTCCCTCTGAGGATCTTTTGTGAAGAGTACGGTACTTGAAATATCAGAGTATCAGTGGGAAAGTTATTGAGGCTGGGATCTTATTCATGGTTATCTTTTACTAAGCCTTTCCAAGTGCTCTGGAATTTTTTTTACTGTTATGCATAAATAACTGTGCTGTAAGGCTAAAAGTACAAAAAGCTCCATTTCCCTATTTCATTTGTAATGAAATAATCCATTTGACATACATGGTATTCATTTTTTCCTTCCTAATATTTTTCGTATTAATGCCACTGTTCAGTGCTATTAAAGTCTGAGCTCAGTAATTTCATAACATCAAAACATCATAGATAACAGAGACATCAAGACAAGTTAACCTGTTACATGCAAAATTCAATTAGGCCCAATCTGCATGATAAGTATGTGGTCAGTATGTGATGATTGTAGCATTATGGAACGCTTTAAAAAAAAACTATCCACTATTGTGTCTATGGGCTTGAATGCATGTTTTTCTTATCTCCTATTTTATGCTGAATACTAGAGAGCACACAAATCAAATAGTTGAGAGTTATTTCATATTGGGTCACTTCTAAGATAGAATACTAATCTATATTTTTCATGCAAAATGCTATTGTAAGTTCTTAGGTTGCACTTCCCAAATTTTTGTCATTATCAGCTCTGATAACTATTTTAGTCACAATTTGGCCCACTTCCAGAGCAAACTTAAAGTAATTATTCTATAGTTTTTGTATGCCCTGCTAAATCCTTTTTTTTTTTAAAAAAAATAGGGAAACAGTATTGTCATATGTCTAATCAATCATGCATAGATGTAGTCTTAATGCCCATGTTAAACAAGTTGCATTGTGAGTTGCATTTCATTTTTTTCTTGTATACAACAGCATTTGTTTCAATACCACTCTTAGAATGTTACTATCTTTCCCATGTAAATATCTAAAATATCACTTTTAACATCCCTTAATTCAATTTTATCTCACATCATTTTAATCACTTTTGTTTTTAATTTCATTCACTCTGCTGGAAGACCCTTGTTTGGCCTTTTTCACCTCCTTCCAAAGTAATTGCTTATTGCTACCAATGCCAATTGCAGTATTTGGACTGTTGTAAATTTGTATCACTCCGCATATATAAAAAGTTTTAATGTATTTTAGGAGTTACTCTTCCTAAAGAGTCCTTTAGTCATTGTATGGCTTGGAAAACTTGTAAACTGACTCTACAAGCTGTAGGCTTTTTTTTTTTTTTTTAATATTCATTGCTGCTGAAAGCTATACTGTTATTTTATAAACTTATAAAGTTTATTGACTTTGTGTCTTAATGGCTTACCGTACCTGCTCCCTAATAGATATGAAAAATCAAATTGCAATATTTTGGATTCACCACTGACTATTTTCTTCTGTCTTCAAAACCAAAAGCAACTTAAACTTCATTTGTTTGTTTTTCTCTGAGCACCTTCTCTTGGTTAGGGCGATGTAATTGAATTTGAATCTTGACCTTCAGATGATGAAGTAGATACTATTTTCTGAAATCAAACATTTTGAATAATGTTATAAGAGGAGGGGAAGGGGAAGCTGACGCCTGACTACAGTTAATATCTGTACTCCTATGTTCTTTTCCAGGAAGTGTAATTGCTTATATCAGCTCTTCAAGCCCTGCTTCCTGTCACAGCGAAGGCTCAGACAACAGTTTTCAGTCCTCTTCTTCCCCTGTGCCACCGTCACCAAACAGTTCCTTCTCTGAGGGGAGCTGTAGTAGCAAGAGTAAAGAGCAGTCTGATAGAAGATCATACAGTGACCAATTAGAGAATCACACTAAGGCAAATCAATCAAGTGGCACCTCAACAGCAAAAAGTCATAATGGATTTGCAAGTAAGTGCTATTAGTCTTTTACAAAACACTCATTTCAGCCATCACGTTTCTCAGCTCCTTTCATTTTTCTATAACTTACAGGTTCTCCTTTTTTCTTCCCATGGTTAGCTGTTATGATTAAACTGGTACTCACTTGTTGATAATTGAAACTTTGCAAATGCTGACTTCCAGGTGCTCTCTGGTTGAACCTTTGTTAGACATACCCATGTAACATTGTAATATAAATGAGAGACTAACAAGAGGAGGAACTTGTGACATCTGAATTGATTCTTAGATTATCCACTTTAGGTATAAGATAGATATATCTGAAGCTTGGCAGCAGTGGCCTGAAGCCTGCAGTATTAAATCTTCAGCATTTAACCTCTGACTTCCATTCTTCTAGTTAAACTGGAGTTCTGATGCTTCAAACTGTCATATTGTCATATTCCTATTCCATAGTCAGACTGGGACCAACAGGCTATGTTGTCCCATGGTCCACAATTAAATTGGAAAAAATGAGAAATTGAGAAATGTTTACCAAGAAACCCCAGTCTGGAAATCTCCCTATTTAAAATGCGTGAAGTACAGCGTTTTAGAATTGAGATTTTGGAATCACCCAGGTTTGCTTCTGAAAGAATATATAAGTTCAAATTGATTCATTTCTGAATCAAAGTAAAATAAGTTTATTATCCATGTAACATGATCGTGCACACTTTGAAGATAATTTAGAAGTGATTGTGATCTCATATAAGCACAAAACCTCTATTAGGTTTACACTGCTCTTAGGAGCATTTATTATGGTTAATGTTACCTTTAAAACTGGTAGCATTGTACAGAAGCTTGAAAAACAAGGAACTGATTTAAAACATAGCAGAAGAGCACTGCACTTGCACAAGATCCAAAACATTTCTTCTGAATCATTTACCGAGTGTGCACAAAACATGAGACTATTTCAGAGTATCTTATTTGCTTGTCTGCAGATTCTTAAGCTTCCAGTAACTGGTGACTACTGCACTTAATTTCTGTACTTCTTAGTTTGGAGACACCAGCCTTTGAATCTGGAACTTCTTAGAATTGCTGCACATTTGTTCTGGAATTGCACATTCGCTCCCACCCTAATAAAGCTTTTATTAGATACAGTTAGTCCTAGCTTACTGATTGCCTTGTATGGTGACCATTTGAAATTAAGAGTTGAAAAAAAGAGTTTTGCAACCAATCCTCACATTTATGCCATCACATCTATCTGTGGTCACATGATCACCATTCAGGCACTTTGCAGGTGCCACACATTTACGATTATTGTAGCTCTTGCAGTGATTGCCATTTACAAGTTTCACAATCAATGGAGAACCTGGAAGTAACATTGCAAGTTATGATCACATGGAGTGGCACTTGATAGCACTTAATTGATTCACTTAATTAAGTGATTGACTTCATGAGGCAAGCAGAAGTGTTATATGTTTGGTGCGGTCATATGATTTTCCACTTGGAGTTATTGCCAGTCCAGTTGTAGTTGATAAGCCAGGAACATGCCACTATATCAGCACAAAACTCAAACAAGGATACTTCAGTTCAATATTTTTATGACTATCGAGTTTCAACTTCTGAAATGTTAAAACATGTATTATATTTTATTATTTATTAATTTAAAACAATTATATAGCCGCCAATCCTATAACCAATTCATTATTAGGGGTGTCAGGAGTATTAGGGAAAGCATTACATTTAAACACTTCTTTTCCTATCTAAGAGTACTTGAATAACCTTTATACAAATCACTTAAATGAATATCTCTGTTTTTTCTGATTATTTAAGTATTGACAACTTTAATAATAACTTATTAATTTAATACTTTTTGCACTGTTCCTAATATTGTAATCTCAGAGAACAACTTTAGTTGGTTTATTACTCAGATAATTAAATTCCATGATCAAAAGTGGAATTGTTGATTCCCTAAACCAGTGGTGGCGAACCTATGGCACGGGTGCCAGAAGCGGCACCCGGAGCCCTCTCTGTGGGCACACATGCCGTTGCCCCAGCCTTGCCTCCCCCTGTGACCCCTTCCTCACCAGTAGCCCTCCTGGAGAAGAGACACCCCCGAGGGTGGCCCATATGGAGCAGTGCAGCCAAGGACATGGCAGCCAGGCAGCATAGACAAGACTCTGCCCTCATGCCCCATCACGCATAGTTGATGCTGCGGTGCGCGGGCAGAGGGCGTGGCTGCCATGGCACTGCTGGGCGATCTGCGGCGGGCCTTGGAGACGATGAGTGGCCCTGCGGGCAGGCGGGGTGGGGGCGGAGCAGGGGCGGGTCAGTTTTTGGGCAGTCAGTATCTAAAAGGTTCGCCATCACTGCCCTAAACCCTTGTTACTTGGAACCTGTTTGCAACATGTTAATAAGTAATGATATTTCATCAGTTCATAAGTCATCATTGGATAGCATTTTCATTTTTTTGTTTTACCCCATCACCTGCTGAAACATTTGTGTTTACTTGATAAACCTACTGCCTTGTTTCTAAACAAAAGAAATTTTCAGATGGCATTTAAATCTAATAAATTTGTGCTATTATTGTAGATGATACGGGGTAAAATTTCATTTATGTAGAGCAGATGTATCAGTTTTTATTTGTCCTAAACAATGTTATTTTTATACAGTCAGTATTAGTTAATAATTAACACAGACTTAACAGCAAGACACTTTTACACCTTAAAATTTTAGATGCAGTTTGGAGGGCACCTTTGGCAATGGGATTTATTTCAAAGGCAATCTGCCCAGATTTCCTAGAGTGCTTTTTTCTAGAGTTACACATTATATTTTAAAAACTATACAGCTTAATCTTTTGCTGACTCCTATATTAAAATATTTTTCTAATTCTTTGAGACATATGTAATAATGACCCGAGAAGGCAGGTGTACAGAATTATATTCCTTTACATTACATTACATAACAAATCAAATCTATCCGTGCTTCATTTTCCATGTTACTACTGTTTTCATACTGTTGCATTTTTAGAATTTAATGGCATGGTCTTGCTGTGTAAAGTCTGTGGAGATGTTGCTTCAGGATTTCACTATGGGGTCCATGCCTGTGAAGGCTGCAAGGTAATTTTTCTAATATAAATGGCTTAAGAATAAATATAAATTTAGGAATGAGTATAATTATTGCTGACTATCTGAAATATGTTTTATTTGCTATATGTTTTATTTGCTAAATTGCCAAATTTAAAATATTTTCATTTTCTTCTAAATAAGTATAATCAGCAAGGCTAAAGGTAATATTCTTTCAAGTTTTACATGAATATTTTGTGTGTATTTTATTCTATTGTTTTTAATCACAACACAATTTCATAAGCCTTATTTAATTTGAAAATTAAACATACAAGATTGTATTCATATGATATAATTGGAAGCTTGTTCGCAAAAAAAAAAAAAAACCCAACTAAAACAATTGCTTATTTTTTCAGGGTTTTTTTAGAAGAAGTATTCAGCAAAATATCCAATATAAGAAGTGCCTGAAGAGTAACAACTGCTGTGTAATGAGAATGAATAGAAACAGGTGTCAGCAGTGCCGATTCAAAAAATGCTTATCAGTAGGAATGTCAAGAGATGGTATGTTTCTATATTGAGCAGTGACCTTCAAAAGGTGAATTGTTGTATGTTTTGTGTTTAATTCAAATGGAAGTTTTATAAAAATGGTGATAAAGTAGAGGTTAACATTGTGCTCTGTTTCCAATTGCATCGTAACTAGTGCTTTTTTTCTTAAAAAAAAAAAAAAAAGGTGCCAGAACTCACACACATTATATAACCCGCCTTGCCTACCCTACAAGGTTCCATCCAAAAAAGGTGCCGGAACTCCGTTCTGGGTGTTCTATGAGAAAAAAAGCCCTGACCGTAACCACAAAGTCACAAGTATGGAAATGATGCTGGAACATGAAATATGTTCCTACAAGAACTTGTAATCCCAGTGAGCATTTGTGAATGCAGGTGGTCCTCTACTTACAACAGTTTGTTTAATGACTGTTCAAAGTTACAATAACACTGAAAAAAATGACTTATGACCATTTTTTACACATACAACCATTGTGATGTCCTATGGCCGGATGATCAAAATTCAGACGTTTGGCAACTGGTTCATATTTATGATAGTTGCAGCATCCCGGAATCATATGATCACCTTTTGTGAAGCAAAGTCAATGGGGAAGTCAGATTCATTTTACAACTGTGTGATTTAACAACTGCAGTGATTCATTTAGCAACTGTGATTGTAAAGATCATAAAATGGAGCAAAACTCATTTAACAACTTGCTTAGTAACAGAAATTATGGACTCGGTTGTGGTTGTAAGTCTACCTGTAAAAGCAATGAGCTTGTATTCGTGGCATCAACAGTATCCATGATGGAGGGAATAAGCAGTATGCAAGGCCGTATTCACAAAGGGCTCTAAACCATGTTTGTGAAGGGAATAATTACATCTTCAACTACACAAGGCAGAATGGGCTGTCAGGATCCCTTATATGTTTACATGTGAGATACATGGCCATCCACTTCTGTGATTTTAAAATAATGGAAAAAAAATCTGTCCAATTCATAAATCTAGGACTAAGTGTTGCATCTCCAAACATGTTTTGTATGTATCTTAATGTGTTGTAGTGTACAATAAAGCCACTTCCAATGCAATGTAAAAAGGCTAAGACATTTCAATATAGTATATTGATTAAAGAAAACAGCAAATGAAAGTCACTAATAGTTATAGTCTTTACTTAGTTAATTCATCAGAAAATGTATAAGGGATCTTAATCATCAAGGAAAAATATAGGAGATTCTTTTAGACTTTTATCACAGGCTCTTGACTTTGCTATTTATCAATCACTGGAAACAATGCAAATTTCCAAACAGAGTTTTCTAAGAGGATAATTTTCAAGGAAGAATATTCAAACTGACTAGTACTTTGACTAACTTTATTAGATATTTTTCCTGAAATATATATACTTCCAATTTAGGCTGAGCCATAAGAAAATTAGCCTGGGATCCGGTAAATTAGTTAGGTTAAACTAGATCTGTCTTTTTGGTTTTTTTAGAGCAATGTTGCTCAAATATGATTACTTTTTACAATGTGTGAACTTCAACTCTCAAAATTCCCTAGCTAGGCAATTTTGGGAGTTGAAGTCTATACATCTTAAAGTTGCCAAGTTTGAGGAATACTGATTTAGAGGAATGATCTAGTACAGGGCTGTCAAACTACTGGCCCGTGGGCCGGTTGCATCATATGGAGGCTGCGCACACCTCAGCTCCGGCAATGCAAAAAAAGTCGCAATACATTGCGACACATCACGTGACACAGCGAGTTTGACACCTGTGATCTAGTAAATGGGAAGCATCATACCATTGTTAATTAATCATGGCCTGGAAACTTAACTTGATTAATTGAATCAAGGAGATACTACTCTAAACTAAACACATTGGCTGGTTTGCATCATATATGGAATCACAAAGTAACTAATGTTTTAGCTAAATTGGTTGTGCAAGACCAGCAAATTAAGGAACTAAAAAAAATTATAGGGCAAATTCATTTGCAATCTTACAGTTAGTCTAATAGGGTTTCCAATATTACTTTGTGTATGCCTGCCTTTTTTGGATATCATCATTGTACACAAACTGGTTTTCATTTCTCTCAAGCCCAAAGTATCTCAGTACAGCCAGTCTGCCACTTTCGGATAAATTTTGGTTATTCTTAGAATTTTTAGTAAATATAATCACAATACTTTCCAAACTGTGAGTGGCCCTAGTTACTACATTTTGCCTGCTTTCATTCCAAGTTGTGTACTCCAAGATGTATCTTTCTGCTCTTTTTTCCTTAGTCATGAAAACAGTGCTTACATTCCTGCCTGCATTGTTGAGAAGAAAAATTGCTTATCCTTATTTTATAAATTATTTCAATGCTTTATTAATAACGCAGCTTTCTGGACAACCTAAGCTATATTAATAAAAGAAAATAACATGAGAATAAAGTACAAAAAATAATATAGGAAAAGGAAAGAGAGAATATTTATAAAAGTCAGCATCTTTTCCAATAGCCCTTTCTGTCCAGAAGCAGCATAAATGTACAGTTTGTTTTTAGAAGGAAGAAGAATTATAAAAATTTGGCTCACTCTCTTCATTACAATTGAAAACGCTGCGTGGGCTGTGTATAAATTCTCTTCTATTCCATGTGGTATTTCACATTTGAGAAAAATGCATCTTCAGAATTTCAGAGTCCCAGAAATAGCTGAGTAGTCTTTTGGTCCTTGTTCACAATTTTGATGTCAAAGAGATGCTGTGTTTAATCAATAGTATGATTTCTTAAGGAAGAATGCATGCTTATTAGAATTTGATATAATATAAAACTAAAGGCTCTGTCTTCCTTATAGCTGTTCGATTTGGCCGAATTCCTAAACGGGAGAAGCAGAGGATGCTAATTGAAATGCAAAGTGCCATGAAAACTGTGATGAATACGCAATTCAGTGATCACTTGCCTACTGAAGCATTAAAAGATAGCCAAGAAGCATTGGTCTTAGTGCCTCAGGAACAGCTGAACTCCAAACTACAGCAAGAAGAAGAAACTGTCAAAAGGCCCTCTTCTCCTTCTCCCCTTCCTCCTCCTCTATGTCCTGCTCTTCCTTTGCCCTCTGATATTGTCAAGGAAGAAGTGATTGGCATGGTAACTAGTGCCCACAAAGATACGTTTATGTACAATCAGGAACAACCAGAAGATCGTACCACTGTTTTGCAGCGTCCAAATGGGGAGAAAAACCTTAAATACTTGGCGCAGTTCAATTCTGGTGGTGAAACTGATCATGGTAGCATAAGCAGTGTGCTTCAAAATGGGAATGTTAAACATTTCAATGAACAATATAAAGGGCAAAACAATATGCACTATCCAAATGGGTATAATCTTTGCTTCCATTCTATGAACTTCGCCAATGGCTTTACCACAAAAGGGTATAATACAATGCTCGAAAATGGATTTTCTTCCATTGAAACTCTGAATGCGTATTCCTGCAGCACTGGAGGCAGAATGCATCTGGTATTACAATTATTAAATACTGTTCTTTAGTTGTCATAAGCTTAAATTAGTCACATAGTCCTGGGAACAATAAGGCAGTAGAGTGTACAGGTAGTCCTCTATATACAACCAGTCACTTAGCGACTATTTGAAGTTACAACATCTCCCGCAATAATTTGCCTTTATGACTGACCACAGGACACTGCAGTGTCGACCCCCTCCATTCTTCCCCCCTGGCCTTATGCCTACTTCCCACCCCATATCTGCCATTGATTGCATCACTCTACTCCTTAGTGTTGCTAGACCACTTGGCTTCACCATAGAAGGAGGCACTATTTCCTGAGCAGCCATAATGAAACAGTCCTCTAATCACCCCTGTAAGTGGCTTTCCTCACACTGGTTTCTTTCCCTACAGTGGCAGCAGTTGCCCCAGATTTTGCTGGGGTTGAGTTAACCCCCTGCCTGCACCACTCAGGGCCCAGATCCCTCCTATCTGCAGTAGCCAGGAACTTCACCCCATTATCCAAGGGGCTACCAGTTCAAAAGAAAGATAAAAATCTGCCAGAGTCTATATGGGGCAGGAAGAGCTTTAAGAAAGGAAAGATGGAAGACACATTCACACACATACACCTCAAGCATTCCTTCTTGCAATGTCTGAAGGAAGGCACATGTCTCTCTGTGTGTGCTGCCCCCTCAAGCTTTGATCCTCTCCTTCCATTAAAGAAGGGAACAAGAGTTTTTACAAGTTCTCTTCCAAAGAAAAGGTTTAAATGCCTTGGAGACTCCAAGGATGTGAAGCAGCCACCTTCTTCACAAAGCCCTGACTTGAGTTGCTTTGCATGCCAACTGAATTTCGCCATTTCCTTCTTCCCATGAGGTCATCCAGCCTGGCCCTTTAAGAAGAGGAATATAAAACTGCTAAAACCAGCCCTCAGCTCTAGCATCTTAAAATGCCCCTTTTCTCGTGCTCCTGGACAGGGTTGGCACATTGCTGCTGGCTTCATAGAGAATAAAAGCTGCCTACCTTTTTCTAAAGCTCTTCTCTGAATGTGGCTCCTAAGCGCAATAGTTATAAGACATTTCAGCTTGACTTGCATGGGTTAAAACAATGAAGCACAATTCACAATTCCTAGCAGAGATTGGCTTCAAATGGAAGAAGTCGTTTCCATTGAAATGGAAGCAACCATGCCCAGAGAAGAGTTTGCAGAAAAGAAGAAAAGCATGCTAAAACTTCTGCTTTTTGAATCAGGGCTTTGGGGGGTTGCATTGTTTTTGCAGAGCCTTAAAAAGGGAGCACAGCTCTTTTTTTCTCTGTTTCTATGAAGCCAGTTCCAGTGATTATTATGTGAATCCCACAATCCTTAAGCAGATCCATTTTAGACAATCCCTCTTTTGCTGGAAACTGGAAGTAAATATCCATTCCTAGCAACAAAAAAAAGACGTATGACTCTGGGACACTTCAAACAGCCATCAGTGCAAGCCAGTTGCTAAATGTCAAAATGTGACCGTGTAAATGGAGGGGGAGGTGTCATTAGAATTTCAAATCTTTATCATAACTACCTTTTTTGGGATTCCTCATAAATCCAAACAGTTGCTAAGTGATCAGTTGTAGTTTGAGGACTCCCTGTAGTTGGAATATTAACAGAGTGACACATATGTGAAGACGCTTTAGGATGGACGAATACCTTCCCTCATATGTGCTTTTTTAAAACAAATAACTCTATGAATTCAATTGGGGGAAAATAAATGTTAACTAATTACTAATTGTAGTGTGACTTTGTGAAAGTATACGTCAGTTAAGCAAATCAACTGAATAGTGATTACTCCGATAGCAATTTCACTTGAAGCTGAGAGTACATTCTCTGATTCTTTTACATTATTTGTGCTGCATTTTTCAAATGGCATAGAAATTAAGAAAAGAAATGTGCATGCAAGTGATTCAAACATTTTAAGCCTTAACAGTTTTTTATGTCTTAAAGTAAAGTGAAAAAAATTTAAGATTACAGTAATGTACTTGCAGTCACAAGGTCATATAATTTGTTCTGGTTAGTCAATAGGCTTGTAATTGCCTACCAATTGCACTAGATGGAAATAAAATTATCACAGCCATTCAAAAATTGTAATGCAAAGATGCTCTGCAAATGTAGGTTTGGAAGTATAAAATATCGAGGGAAATGGATTTTAAAGTAGATGCTCATACTTAAATTTCTTTTCTAAGAAAGATTTTATTTTGCAGTTGACAAGAAGAAACTCTTAATTTTAATTAGACTCTAATATTTTTGAAACATACTCGCTAGCATTTTTAATTATGAACTGTTTTAATTATAAATAATTGTGTTATATTTGAAGACATTGCCAGTTTTATAGTTTTTGAAAAGGAGGATGTTCAGAATAGCATTTTGATTCTATATATGTTTAAATATCCAGGTTTGCCCAATGAACAAGACTCCTTTTGTGGATCCAAATAAGTCTGGTCAGGAAGTCTGGGAAGAATTTTCTATGAGCTTTACACCCGCAGTAAAGGAAGTAGTGGAATTTGCCAAGCGTGTTCCAGGTTTCCGAGATCTTTCCCAACATGACCAAGTAAATCTTCTGAAGGCTGGGACCTTTGAGGTGAACATTTCCTTTTTGTTTCTTCTTTTTCCATCAATCAAAACTGATAAAATGAGTGCAGTTACTTTGGTACACTTGGCATATATCTGCTGTAGTTATTGGGGAAATGTGGCAAAATTTGCCTCTTTATGTAATTACAGATTGTATATTTTACTTGGAAGTTTCATCCTGTCTCCTCACTCATTTTGAAAAGGGCTCACCTTTTTTTGGTATCTCTGTGTGATATCTGCCAAGTGAGCTTCCCTGGTTGATGATATCTATTGCCTAAAGCACAGGTGGGGAACTATGGCTCTTTTATGACTTGTGGACTTCAACTCCCAGAATTCCTGAGCCAGCCATGCTGAGCCATGCTGGCTCAGGAATTCTGGAATTGAAGTCCACAAGTCATAAAGGGGCCATAATTCCCCTCCTCTAGTCTGAAGGGACCCACACCTCTGTCTGTAATTGAAATCCAATGCTTCCTGACTATATTCAGTTTTGCCTTTTAGAAAGAGTCACACTGAACACGAGAAAACTTGTATTTAAGAAGTGCCAATTGTTATCTTGTTTTGCCTCATCTTTCCTTTTCTGAGGAAAGAGATTGCTTTTGAGCTCTGTTACTTAAAAAAAGTTTTAAATATTGGTGCTAAGTAATATTCTCCATCCCTTCCAAGGCTGTGTGGAATAGAGGTCAGTTTACACCAGTGTTTTTGACTGCCCCCCTGTGGAATGCCTCTCACTTCAACAATAATAAAATGCAGTTTTAGAAGATGTAGCATTTTAATTCAGAACCATTTTCATATCCTCAATATAACAGTCACTTTTTGTGAGATGGGCAGCCATATCAATTTGATAAATAAATAATATGCCAATAAAAATATCAAAGCCAAGTGAGGATGTCTCCATAACCCCAAACTCTAAATATTTTTTATATATATATAACCTGGCCTGTTTCTAAATTATATAAATAGTTGCCTGGGATTTTTTTTTAAAGCTTGGGATTAATCATGTCTTCAGTAAATTGTAAGAAAGCCTTTTTAAACAAACAAACAGAGGATATAAATTATATAGGATAATAATCATTTTGTGTGTGGACTATTTTAGAATTAAATCTTCAGGATATATCTCACTACTTCATTGCTAATAGTTGGGTAGAAGAGAACCAGGATATTGAAAGTCTGGGAAATAAAATCCCAGAAGGCAGCAGTTTAGATCACTTCCCTTGAATTTTAAGACAAGTCACCAAGAATTGACCTTGGCTCAGAGAAGACTTTTATCTTCAATTTTATGAGCTGTCAAACTTTGAAGATTCTATATGAACTGAGTATAGATTTACATGCGAGCTTTTCTCCCTAAATTTTCTTTTGACTAGGTACTAATGGTACGGTTTGCATCCCTATTTGATGCAAAAGATCGTACTGTCACTTTTCTTAGTGGAAAGAAGTATAGTTTGGATGATCTACGTACCATGGGAGCTGGTGATCTGCTGAACTCCATGTTTGAGTTTAGTGAAAAGCTAAATGCACTGAACCTTAGTGATGAAGAAATGAGTTTGTTTACAGCGGTGGTCCTTGTATCTGCTGGTAAGAAAACAAAATGAACCTTTGTATGTAGCAAAAAATAACATATCCTTTGTCTTTTCATAATATATGAAATCTGATTTGGGGGTTGGACTCCCCTTCTCTCCCTCTCCTGGGTTTCTTCACACTGTTTAACAAATAAGATTATATATGAAATTTATCTTATAGTATTTTTTGGAGGTGCCTCATTAACGGTTCTGTTCTTGTTCCTTTTATACAGTTGGTTTGCATGAAAAGGGATGAGAGGCAGATTTTGTTTCAGCAGTAGTTACATTTGGGACTGTTTTGAGGGTTAGCAAAGAGCATCCATGCTGCTATTTTTCAGTAATGATGCAATATTTCTACTTTATTAGGTATGCATTGCTATGTTTCAGCTGCTTTTACATATGTAGGATTTTTGGGGAGATTTTTTTGCAGCTCACTTTTAGTTCCATATTCTTTCTCTTGTGAACTTCTAAAGACAATATACTATTGAATTTTAAAATAAAATGTATCCTGTGGGGCAGGGAGATTACACTGTTTGCATGTTCTGATCCATATTGGAATAGGAATATTGCAATAGGAAATGTAATTTTGAATTGTCATGCAGTCTGATCTATGATAATTAGTTTTAGTTACTAAAGTGCAACAACGGGTAAAAAAACCCAATGTCCTTGGTAGGTGCAAAAATATTTTTTCTTAGTCCACTTACCATGAATTCTTTATCATGCAAAGGAACATAATTTTTCATTGTGGAATAAATCATAAAAATAATATAGGAGGGGAATGGACAGCCTAACACATGCCCTCTTACTCTTCTGGTTGGCAAGGAAGAGTATTCTGAAGTCACACTCACTCAAATAAACACCCTAGAAAATTTTAATTTGTTAAGACTCTTCCATCTTACATTCCTGATTATGTTAGGATCCTTACCTAATACCCCATGCATTCCTCTTAGCTGTACACTCTAGCCACACAATTCTATTGTTCTTTTCCACAATAGAATATTGTCAGAACCTTGTTTTACTTTACTGCGACTCTGATCTCTGAGATGTTCTAATATGTGTGTATTTGTTACTCTGCTCAAAAAGTAAAGATTCCTCTACATATCCAAGCTATTGGATCACGTTCAATTGTCATTATCTCCAGAATGTATTTGCCTACCTTAGGGTACCCCTCCATCCTTCATTATAAATTAAGGACCTAAGATGAACATGTTAATTTATATAGGCCTTGATCTGTAGCAGTTGTGATTTACCTAGTTTGAATATCATTTATTAACTTAAATGCTTTGATGAATACCTCGATACTTTGCAGAAGTTTATACAGTGTATGTTGCAATATATGTTGCAAACCAATAACTGTCTCTCTCCCATTGTTTATCTTTCATTTAGAACGATCAGGAATAGAGAATGTCAATTCTGTGGAAGCACTGCAAGAAACACTGATCCGTGCACTGAGGACTTTGATCACAAAAAATCATCCAAATGAAGCCTCTATATTTACAAAACTACTTTTGAAATTGCCTGACCTGCGTTCCTTAAATAACATGCACTCTGAAGAACTTCTAGCCTTTAAAGTTCATCCATAGGCTTTTAGCTCTTACTTATATACTTGATTTACCTAAAATTGATTGTTTTTATTTTGTGCTAAAATATTTGTTTATAATTGTACATGCTTCTGTGAAGGATTTGCATAATAGTGACATGACCTCTTACATGTAGTAAATGTGTCAGGTTGAACCTTATTTCATCGCTGACAAAATGGCCACAGATTTCTTCTTGATTATCCAAAACTGCCCCACTTGCACACTAAATGTTATAGATGCTGACCTCTTTGTCTTTACAGAAAAGATCATTTAATTATGCTAAAGAAGAATACACAGTGGCTACAAATGGAAAGCAGCACTTTAACTAAATGAAGCAAGACTATATTGGTCCAACTCATCCTTAAGTAGATACCTTGCTATATGAGACAGTTTTTAAAAACTGTTTCTGATTTCACTATGAATAGTTTATAAAAGAATCAGCTTAGTATAAAACTATACATTCAGCTTTGTACGTGTTTATATGTGCATATGCACGCACACACACATATAATATGAACAGAGATGGCTGTATTATTACTTTATAAACTTCATGTGCATACATAATTATATAAGTATGTAAATATAAATAAACTTCACAATATTTTCAGCTGTGAAGAAGTTAAAGGATTACCCATATGAATGTATTTGATTCTGTACAGTTGAAGTAAGTATATTAAAAGTTTAGAGATTCCCAACTTCTGGTTTGCCGACGCAGCTGCTGCGGACACTTGGAAAGTGACTCCATCTTCCACGTCCGATTTTCCTTTGCTGAGGGACCCTGGGAAGGGTCAAAAGTCTCCCTGTAGGGCCAACGAACAAGGAGAAGACCCCCGCTTGATTGCAGGAGATCGGCCATAGCAATATGGCTCGTCATTAGGCTGTAGACAGCTGAAGTCAAATCTACTATCAAGCACTCTGAAAGCAACGTGGATGAAACTGGGTGAGATTTGATCTTCTCTTTACCCCAAGTACCTTCTTTCTTGTAAAGCCGGCTTGAAGTATCTTTCCCCTTTGGGGAGAGAGGGAAGGGAAATTCTATCCCATCCTCTAAGAATAGCGGCGTCTGACTATCCAGGGGAATCAAAGCATTAAAAAGAACAACTTTAATCTAATTGGATTTATATGTTTCTGAAACTTGGTGACTAAAAATTTTCCTATTTATATTGGAGACATTTGTTTTTATCTACAAAAAAGAAATAAAATTGGAAAAAGAATTGGAAAAATTCGGGACTTAAAAAACTCTAAACGGCATCGGTGACATCTTGTGGTGAAGTTTGGTATTGCAATTTGTTATTTCCTAAAAAGAGACTTGGCTCAAAGCCCAGACCTAGATAAGACTTTCCTTGGAACCATCTGTGAGAAGATTCAGCTGTAAGAAAACAGCTGGGTAGCAAAATTGGTCCACTTGAACTGTGACTGTAAATCTTTACTGTCTTTTGCTTAACAAATAACTTTTACTAGAAAGACTATTTATAAATAAGTGAAAGGTGGATAAAGACCAGGAAAAGATTCTTTCTATGTTAAAAGCAATACATGAAAGCATTCTTGCAGCTTGTGATAAAATAAGACCTAAAATAAAAGATCAAGATGCCAGTTTAGATGCACAAAGCCAAATTTTGACTACAACTAAAGAACCAACAATGCAGAAGATAACAGAAGTGGGACAACCAAATATGGAGACAGAGGACCCAATTGATCATCAAATATATCTGATGGAAAATCCAGAAAAGGAAGTGACAACATTGAAAATGGAAATGACTTTCTATATAAATCAGAATAAATTTGAAAAAAAAGTGGAACAGATTGAATTGAAGACAAATATATTAGAGCGAACATGGGGAACTGGAATAACAGGGAGAAAATTTAATGAATACAAATGGGCTAGATCTTCCAGAAAATTGGCAATCAAATGGTCTCCTTTAATTCAAACAACATATGAAAGAATAGAGGGAGATCTATTTGATTATTTAAAGGCATTGATATGGAAGCCTAATTGGCAAAGGAAGAAAGCTAGAATAAGGTTGAAAAAAACTGGGATTTTGACTCATTAGAGAGGATTTTATATTGCCAATTAGAGGGTTAAAGGGAGATGTTGAGATAAGGGGAATTTTGGTATTAGATTTATAATATTTGGAAACTAGTTGAAAATAAATATTTTATTGGCTTAATATTTAAAAAATGGACTTAAAAGGGAAAAGAAAGTTAAATATTATGAATATGTTTGATTTATTGATTAACCCAGGCAATATATATAATAGTTTTGATTTATTAAAGGGGGTATTGTGTTATTAAATAGATGATTAAATATGGGAAATAGATAACTCTTAGGAAATAGAACAAGATTATATTCAAATAGATAAAATATGTATTTTGGATATTATAATTTGTTATCAGGTGAGATAAGGGAAATTTTGGTTACCCAAAGTATGAAAATTATAAATATTAAAGGTTAAATTGGAATATTGATAAATTAAAAATTGAATAAAATTAATAACAGGATATGGATTGTTTATGAAGACTGAAGATAATTAAGATATGTATAAGCTAAAAATCCATTGATAAATGTAATAATTAGAAATGTACTAACCCGAATATGAGACAGTAAATGTTAAGAGAAAAAGAGAAGAAATATTCGATGTTGTAACCTGAGATTTGCACTAAGATTCTGTTATTGAACTATTGTAACCCGGTCACCACGTTGCTTTTTAAATATTCAAATGTAAAATTGGAAACTTAATAAAATATTATTTTAAAAAAGAGTTTAGAGCAGACATATCAAACTCACGACGTCACGTGTCGTCACGCGACGTATTGGAGCTTTTTTGCCATTGTCGACAATGGTGTGGGCGTGGCTCCAGTATGATGAAACCGGCCTGCGGGCCGGCAGTTTGACACCCCTGGTTTAGAGATTCCCAAATTAGTATGTTGATATGCTGAACTTGTTAATTTTGAACACTCAAAACAATATGTGAAGAGATAAATAGGTCAAAATTAAACTTTATTGAGAATGTGGGGTTATTTCCTAAAGTTCTTTGCCTTTAATATTGTATGCATCTACAGTGTAGGCATGTAAAGTTGGTAATCACCCTTGCTATTTTTTCTATAAAGTTTTCATTGAGAATCATGAAAAGTATCCAGAAAACTATGTTATACGTTCATTGCAGATTGGGTGTTCTGTGAATCATTTGCGCTACGTATATATGCAAGTTGAATGCTATATAATCAGTCTTGTAACATTAGTGGGACTTTTAAAGTCAGTTTTGTTACATCTCCAAAGCTTTTTCAAAACTGATCTAGGTTGTCTGATGTCTGTGAAGTTCTATTAATTTCATGACTTTTAAATGCCAGTAACACATTCCTAAGCAAGGATTTACTGTATTTTCTGTTGCATTTTTCAAATTAATATATTAATTGCTTCATGTTGTTCATAGTGTGAAAATATTTTAGTTGGATCAAAGTACAACTATGTCAGTATCAAACCGTGAGATTTTTCAAAGGATGACTTTTGAAAATACATTGATATTTCATGTAGTTATTTAATACTTAACACATCTCGAATTTTCCATAACTTTTTGTGAAAATTTACAATATCATAGTTGATACATAATTTTTTAGGCCAATGCATCACTAATTGTAAAAATATTTGTTTGCAATCTTATTATATAGCATTATTATTTTATTTAAATTAATTTCTGTGACCTTGCTAGACATCAAACTCCTGTTTTGTTTAATTCAAGCAACTATTGGGATGTATTTTCACTGTAATAATTGGATCTCATAAAAAAAAATGCTCAATTGCGAGTTACAATTTTTGGGGGGTAATTATTTTTTAAAAATAGTTACCAAATATCGAAAGCCCAAAAATAGGCTCGTCATTTTCCATCAATTCTTTTTAAAAAAAATTAAGCAAATTACTTGATTCTAGATTTCTAACAGGTAATGTTTTTCTCTGGAAGGAAAGTGTTGCTTGAACCTTTGTGAACAATTGCTTAAGTTTCAAAGAACCAATTCGCCAAATATATATGTAGATTAGCAAAAGATCTCATAAAATAAACTTGTACAATTTCAACTTAAGGTTTTATCTTATTCACTGAAGAAGAAACCCTTTAACTTCTGTCTGAAGTCTGGAGTCTGAAGTCTGAAGTCTTAGGCGTAGTACTGATATTATGCTATAGAATTAGATGTGTGGCCCCCACTCTCCCTTTGTCTTGACAGAATAATGGGAACAACTGTCTATAGAGGTTCTCAGTCATCCAGATCATGGTTTTTCCAAAGATGCTTTTCCAAAGGGCAACTGGATTTTCTTGTCTCTCCCCCTCCCCCGAAAATGTTTCACTTCTCCTCCAAGAAGCTGAAGAACTGAAGAAGCTTCTTGGACAAGAAGCAAAACATTTTCAAGGAAAAAAACAAAGTCCAGTTGCCTTTTGGAAAAGCATCTTTGGGACAATGGCAACAGTGACTTTTATCAACCATTGCATAATAGCCCCTGACTTTTGCCAAATTCTATGTGCAGGTAGAAGAACAGTCTTTATGTCAAATGTGACATAAGGGTTAAGCTTCTGAATTTAAGCTTCTGTGTAATGTAAACTCTGCTTTACTGTAGTCACTGGTTATATGCTACTTAAAATACTGAGAAATATGTCAAATGTTTGAATACTGTTGATAGGCATTGCTGAGAAAATACAAAAATGTACTGTATGAGATAAACTTTTTTTTTTAAAAAAAATGGCTTTACTTGTTTAAAAAGATTAAATATGGGCATTATGATGGCAAAACATTTTTCTTATGATTGTGTGTCCTCATTTTCAAAATTAAAACTGAAACCTGAAGAAGGGAAATCCTATCTCTTGGGTCAATGACTTGTGAATTTTTATTATTTAGAACATTTATTTATTGAATATACATCTACAATATAGCGCTATCCATACCATTCCTTCCTAAAGCATTTTTCATTAAAGCAATATAAATTAAAGGAGAAACAGTAAAAACATAGCACTCAGATAGGAAAGACCTGAGCAAACAGCACTTCAACAGGTTTTATTCTCCAGTATTAATATCCCATCTCAAATCTGACCGAATCTTGGCAGATGACAAATAAAACATTTAAGTGTAAAAAAGGAAGCATAAAGGAGAAGCACACAAATGAAGCATTTAAGAATGATTAAGCACTGAAAGTCTATTAAAGCAGAAACTGTTTTTAACTTTTTTCTTTTTTCTTTTTGCAAATTATAAACGGTTTGGGGCTATCTGTACTCTGGGGGGGGGAGGCGGAAAGTATTCAGAAGAGTGGAAGTGCAACTCAGTACTTGAAATGTATGACCGGTCGCTGGAAAGAGCATTCTAAAATATAGGAACCACCAGAATAAAGGTTCATCAAGTACATGAATGTTAGTTGCTGCATGTGCAGGTTTCTAAAGCACAGTGGGACATCTTGGGGGGAATGCTGGCATATACATGTATCCAATGCTTCCAAGTTAAATATTTGAGTCAGACATAATACCTCAAGTACTTCATTGTAGGTTTTGCATGTTGATAACACTGGTTTGTCATGGATTCTACTGTAATAAAGCCTGTGCTGGTGTGGTTTCCCAAAATTCCTGGTACTAAGAGGCTTTGTAAACACTTATGCAGAATTGTCTACTCATTTTTATTGAATAAGGAAAATTGGAGTTGCATGTCCTGGAGGCCTTATCATTATTAGAAATAATTGATTTAAAATATTTCCTTCCTTTCAACCACATTCAATTTTCAGACAATGTTTCTAGTCGCTCAGATTTCTTCTCAAGTTTTTTCAGAAATGGTTTGTCATTGACTCATCCCTAGGATTGAGAGAAAACAACTGACCCAAGATCACCCCGCTAGTTTTGTGAACAAGGTGAGACTAGAACTTGTAGTCTCCTAGTTTCTAGCCTGGTACCTAGTTTCTAGCCGGATGCACCAAATCAGCTCTCTTAAAACATTTAGTTCCATTCAATAATGCAACAATAAACTAAAACAAAAAAACTTGAGTCTACGGTGA